GCCGCCTTGAGCCTCACAGATTTACTAGAAAGTGCTGATCAAAATTTTAAAAGTTTTTTTACGTAGCCAGGAAAATTCTCTACTGAATTTCATTGGATTTGATATAGTCATAATCTGTAGTTTAAATGATACATTTAAAAAAAAAACTTTTTTGAAATTTTTTAAAAGTTCTATACTAAGAGAAAAATCAAACTTTAATGAATATGCTAGCTGTTAAACGAATTGAGTCTGTGCCTCAAACTCGAATTTCCAAATACCCATATCTTTATTTTTTTTTTCAACCTAAATGGTGTTCACCTTTGATATTTCAAAGTCTTTGAGTCTTTGACACAATAGTCTTATCCCTTTATCTTTGCAACCCAACATTTTAAATTTTTGATTTTTCAATCTTAGATATTTCATCCAAACAAATTCATAGTTTGAAATACAGTTTACAATATTGGGTTTTAAAAGATATCGGGGATATAAAATCAGGGTTTTTTTTGGGAAAAAACTCAATTTCTTTGTAATTTGTAGAGCTCCATATATTGAAAAAAAGACAAAACAGATTAAATAAACAGTCTCTTTTTCATATCTTTGGCAGGTAAACCAGATCTCTACTGTCTCAAAATCAACTTATCATGCAGATAAGCTGCTAAAAGGAATCTTGTAATGTGAACTGTGATGGCATAGAATTTAGATACAATATCATAGAAAGCCCCTTTTGAAGAAAGAAAAAACCCGTTTCTTATAATAAAATATCTGGAGAGATAATTTTATTATCTACGCAATTTATAAAAAATAATTTACAAATTTAATTCTATTTTTTCATGTCTCAATTATTAAACCAAATAGATTATGGAATTTGAAGATCCGTCGGTTGTGTAAATTGCACGTTAAAATTTAATCTAATGGTTTACAATCATTACTTCTCTAGCTTATTGAAGATCTATTGAGAAATGTTCTCAATTGTAATTGGACAAACTTTTTGATAGAAATGATCGTATTCTGATTTCTTTTGAGTTAGTTGGTTCATCATTTTGTAAACGACTCATTTTTCTTTGTTCTACAAATGTTCGTTAATTTTCATTCAAAAATTAATCGTTTAGTAAAAACTTTCGTTTTTTAATTCTTGTTGAAAATTTGTTGTTTTAGTAAAAAAATATCGTTTTTCTCTTTCTCTGAACGATCATCCATCGTGCGTATTTTTCTTCTGAACGACACAATCTTTCGCGAAAAATTTCGTTCGTTCTCAAAAATTTGGATCGGTAAGAAAAACGATGCCTATCTCTACTTGTGAAAGATACCAAATATTTTGTCTGTTACTCATAATTATCTTGCCATAGCCTATTGTTTTTTTTAGGTTGAGCTTAGTCAAATTCTTTACTTTGGCTAGACAAAAAACAATTGAAGGTCTTACAAAATGGTGATTACGTTCTTTGGTGCAAATAGTACGTTTTTTTCTTGAAACTTTTCTTTTTAGTGCAGTACTCTGCAAATAATAAAATCAATTGAAAGCCCTCGCGTAGTGCCTACCCAACACAACAGATTATTGATTAAAAAATATTACCAACAAATTGACTTAATATAATATCTGAAATCCAGCAAACAGAAACTAGATAATATTTTGTTTTATACCATGTCTAAAATATTGAATTTATTCCTTACTTTGATGAAAGTTTAGAACTGATCTCAGTTGTCTGAGAATGAGACCGTCATGCAAAAATCCTAGCAATATATACATATATTATACTTTGCTTGTCTAGGTGTCTGTCTGTCTGTTTGTCCGTTTGTGTCCAATAAATGTCAGAACAGATTGGGCAAAAATTTTGTGTGGGACCTAACATAACCCCGGGGAAAGTTTTTAAATGCTCAGAATTACATAAATGTGTATCAAAAAGCTTTTTTTGTGACATTTTAAAAATGTGCAAAAAATTAGTGATACAAAGATGAGATGTTGTTTTAAAATCATGGAATCAATTCCAATTCAGAGAGATGTCAAATGTCAAAAGTAAATATATATTCATAAACTAGTAAATATGAATTCATAAACTAGTAAATATATATTCATAAACTAGTAAATATATATTCATGAACTAGTAAATATTTATTCATAAACTAGTAAATATATATTCATAAACTAGTAAATATATATTCATGAACTAGTAAATATATATTCATAAACTAGTAAATACATATTCATAAACTAGTAAATATATATTCATAAACTAGTAAATATATATTCATAAACTAGTAAATATATATTCATAAACTAGTAAATATATATTCATAAACTAGTAAAAACTTGGCAAAAATAATAAAAAATACATTTCTTGTGAAGAGACGACGATGAAAAGGATTGAACTTCTAAAAAACTGTTTGGGAATATTTTTCTTAAGTTATTATTTTTCTTAAAAAAGTGTGAACCTTTCTGTTCCCGGGCTTCACAGCGTATTTGCCGAAGAATAGTGCCCTCGTTAGGGTATCTAAATATCAGTTTAATTAATCTAAACAAGGAAAAATTTAAAATATTAAATTTAGGATAAACTTATTTAAATTCAATCGACAGCACTTGAAAGAACATCCTTAACTAGTACGCGTGGACTCTTTCTGAATAAGTTCACTTTAGGATATGGATAACATATATCTAAAAATAGCTGAAGTTCCTGGCGTTGCCCGTTAAATTAAAAGAAAATTCGAATAAAAAATCACATTAAAACAATTTTATTTTTAAAAAATCGATTTTTTAAAAAAGCTTTTTAATTTACATGTGACATAAACTTTTAAATTGGTTTTAGAAAGGAATAGAGTATTTACCATAAACTTAAATTGTATAATCTCTATATATTTGCAACCTTAGATTAGTATACTTAGATTAGTACTTAAAATGAACTGGAATTTACAGTGAGATATATTCTAAAAATCCAATGCCCTTGTTTCTAGCTAAAGTTTAAAAGGAGTAATTGGTAAAATACTGCTCGATTTTTGCGTGAGAGTGTGCACATCTTGGTTTGCAGTGTGTCTTCGATTTAAAGGGAGTGACCGGCAATGTATGGTAGTTAAACTGAGATTACAGTATTATTGAAAACATTTTTAGGATTCATTTGAGACCTATCAGACGTTTTTACGGTGCATATTTGTTCACCAAGAGCGCATTTTCAATATTTAAAATCCTCATAGTTTGTCAATACATTGCCGGTCACTCCCTTTAAATAGAGTGCTTGACAACAAATATATATGTATCCAACTTTTCTGTGAAACGCAGTGCGGCTAGAGATGCGCATTTTTTTGTGGTCCGATTTAAAACGTAGTGCGGCTAGAGATGCGCATTTTTTTGTGGTCCGATTTGAAACATCCACTCGGTTTTACAGAACATTTTAATTTTATAATTAAAAAAAAAATTATTCATGGACCGGGCTACAGCCCCAACCCGTTTAATCAATACATTTTATTTTTGAAGTTGACATATTACGTATTGTAGTCATACATAATACAAAGCATGTAATTAATAATAATAAAAATAAGGACTTTGTTCAAAATGAAAGAACGGTATCAAGAATCACAAATGCCTGTTTTGTTATTCTCGGAGGAGGTACCATGGACCCCCTCCCCCAGTGTTGCATATAAGAAGTATTGGTCTGAGGCTATTAAATTTTTTTGAATTTTCTTTGTTTAGACGGACATACGTCTATTTCAACAATTTATAGCTCTTTAGAAGTCATACGACAATTTTGTTCACATTTTTTTCGCGAAGATTTAATTTATTCTTGAATATACATTTAGGTTTTTAACAGTTTGCAGATTGTTAAAGTGGTTTTTCAAATATGTACGAAATGTAATAATTTAGTGTAGCAATAAGGTAATTGAAGATCACCCCCCCCCCCCACCCAGACATTTTGGGTTGAGACTGTAGGGAAATTAGGCTTAAGCGTAATTTCAAGTGACCCTCCATGCAAAGTTAGCAATACCCAATTCACTACGGTACTCTTGAAACCTTAATTTGATCAAAAATGTGGGAGATATCGTCGTTTTTCAGTTTTATGACTTGAAAAGTGTTTATTTCTGTGAGCTTCTCCATTGCAGAACTTATAAACAAGAAATCCACTAGTCACTTTCGCAGAGAAACCGCAAATGAAAATAAACAGCTTAAATTAACAAGTGCATTGATGTCTAAATCATATACTTGATCAGACAAAGCTTTAAGGGTACTGTTGTTAATCGGGAATTGCCATCTTTGCATTGAGGGACTCTGAAATTAAGCTTACAGTCCCTTAAATAGTTTTAAATTCCGGTTTTATGTGAACATTAAAGCATCTTATTTGATCAAAATGATGAAAAAAAATTCTCTTTTGAACATATATTAAAAGGATCAAAAGAAACTTTAATGTTGAATTTTTTTCTAATGCATAATTTTAGCCATTCATTTATTTCTTCATTTAATTATTCATTAACTTATTTATTTATAAATCTTTAGCTCAAGTTTGGCATTCTGTGGTGATAATAAATGGTTAAAAAATTACTGTAAAAAATTGAGATATCACTTTGTTTAATTATACTTCATTTTTTCTACATTTGTTTATATATATATATCTATGTATAAGTTTGGCTTGTCTTGGTGTTTGTCTGTCTGTTTGTATCCAATAAACGTCAAAACGGCTGAACCGATCGGGCCCAAATCACGTGACCAAGGTTTGTGAATGATGAAAATAAAAAATAAATGTGTTTAAAAGGTTTTTAATTTTGTAAAAAAAATAAATCCTTGAAAATCCACGAATTTTTTTTTTAAATCCGCAAAATTTTTTCTTCTTTGTTTTAAAATGTAAACAAAAAGAACATGTTCACAGTTTGAATAGAAGATGGGCGCTAAAAGCCTAGTAATAATAAAAAGGGGGTCAAATTGACCCCCCCCCGCATATCCTGGTTTTCAAGTACCCCAGCAGGGATAGGCTTAAATAGAAGATGGGCGCTAAGCGCCCTAAAAGCCTAGTATATATATATTTTAATTTAGAATTGAAAGTGTTATAGATATAAGATGTTGCAGGATGACAATAAACAAATTCAATCTCAACTCCAACGAAACAATAGTGAGGTCATATCTTTATTAAAATATATTTTAAGGTAAAGGAGTCTGGTAAGTTTTTGGGAAACAAACAAAATTTAGTCTTATGCCGCGACACTACAATTATCTAATCCCTATATCTTTTCAACCTAATGGCGTAGACCTTAGATAAAGACTCAATTCCTTTGTCTAGCTTTGTAAAGAGGAACAAAACGTACAACGCTGAGTACTCGCTTACAAAGAAAAACGAATTTAATTCAAAAAGTTTATGCAAGTTTAAAGCTGCATGCAAAGTATTCAATTCTAAGCAAATCGTGCTTTTTTAATAAATAACATAGTCAAGTGCAGGCTATTGATATTCAGGGTAAGTACGCATTTTTAGAAGTATTTCTGGGTTAAAACCAGAGATAAGAGAGTTACAAAGATCGATTATCAGCTAAAATATGCGATATTTTCCACAGCATGTTCTATTGTGTCAGTCAGTACAAGTACTGTACACGACCAATCAGCAAACATCTGTATTCAGGGATATTTAAGGCCTTTGGATACAAAACACAAAATCTTCAAAAAAAAGACTGAATTCATAAATGTTATGTTTCATGTTTAAAACTGGAGTATTTCCTTAAAAGTTGTAAAACTTAACCCCTGAATGGATATTATATTCATCAAATGGCCATGAGATTGCACTCTTTAAAATCCTATTGTAAAAACTTAGCATGTCGTGCCGGGTCAACTTAGGCGTACGTAGCCCACCCTGTAAAAGGAGATAAGCAGTCTGTGTAGTCTGTGATTAAAACAATTGACAATCTCCATTCCTGGGCGTTTTAAAATGTAGTTTGCCCTTCTTGTACCTTCAAAATCTGATTAAGATGTAAGGAATTTTGTCCAGATTCCAATTTTATAATTAAAATTAAAATTGTTAAAATATCTGTAAACTGTAACTCCGCCAATTTTTTAAATACACTTTTTATAATTTATTACTTGTCGGAAATAAAAAGTGATTATTATTGAGACACCTTGCAGGTTAAAATTATTAGAACACTATTATACAATTATAAAAACACATGATGATCATCTAACTTTATAACTGTTGTTATGTAAACGTATTGTATAAGTATACATTTTTTTCATATTTTACGGAATTCGAATATTTACAATTTTCTTCAAATATGAGTATTTTTTATTTTAAACTAAATCTATATAGTAAAACAAGACATTTGTAAATATATATGTTGTGTATAGATGGCCAAACAGCTGAACCGATTGAACTGAAATTTTTAGTGGACACTCATCATGGGTGACCAGGGGGTGTTAAGGCTAAAAAAACTCGAATTTTTTTTCAATTTTAATTTCCACAGGCAACGCCGGGCCCTTCATTCAGCTAGTATAAATATAAATTAGCATTTTATTCAGCAGACCTATGCAAAATTCATATCAATTTACAGATTTAAAAACAATTAACCTAATTTGTTACAATTCAATTTTCTTTCTTAACTTAATGTAAGCGTGATCTTAAGTGACCTGCCCTGCAAAAATGGCAAAGCCCGATTAACAACGGTACCCTTGAAACCTGTTTCTGATTAATTATGTAGAATATACTGTCGTTTTACGAGGGTTAAAAGTGTTTAATTCTGATAAATCAAATACGTTTTCCTGCAGTAGATGTGCAACTCGTTTTTACAGATTAGTCACAATTGAAAATAATCCGGTTTTCAAATTATAAACAGATTTTGAATGAAGAATCAGACTCACATTTCTTTTAAAATACATTTTGAGGTATTCTTCACAATTCGACAGTTTTAGTTTATTTCCCATAAAACATTAAAATGGTCTCACAATAGAATATTTAGTTTTTCTATTATTTAATACTAGCTGAAGTGCCCGGCGTTGCCGTTGCGTTTTTTTAATCAAAAGGGATGGTGGGGGGGGGGGTCCTGCCTTCATTTTTGGTTTAAATCTTCCAAATAAATAAAAAAAATTGGAAACTTATGACCTTTAATGACCTCTAACAACTTCTAATGACCTCAACAAAAAGAAAAGGTTTTAATTATGGCTATATGCATATCAAACGAAAGGCAATAAAGTATCAGCAACAGCTCCAGTGCTTACCTTCTAATGACCTCTAAGTCTAATGACCTCTAAGTCTAATGAGCTCCAAATGGAACATTAAAACTCTTACACAAAATTCAAAATAATTTTTTGATTGTTAATGTGTCTGTAATTTTGTCCAAATAAATTAAGGTTTCTTTGAAATATAAAAACATAATAAATGAATCAAATTGTGTTGCAATAGTTGTAAAACCAGTCACCTGTGCAGCAAATAAATATGTTTTATTGAATAAAGCAATCCAAATAGATCAATAACGACAAAAACCATGCCCATGTTTTTAGTTATATATATATATATATATATATATACTAGCCTTAGAGGGCGTTTCGCGCCTATCTTCTAAATTAATTGTGAATTTTCACCAAAAATTTCGTGGATTTTCAAAATTTTAAAAAATTTAATGGAGATCGTATTTTGATGGATACAAATATTTGAAATTTTGATCATTCATAAACCTTCCCTGAGGTCCCTAGATGTCCCACAAAAAATTTGGGCCCGATCGGTTCAGCCGTTTTGACGTTTATTGGATACAAACAGACAGACAGACAAACAGACAGACAAGCCAAATTTAAATATAGCCTAGCCTTAGAGGGCGCTTCGCACCCATCTTCTAAATTAATTGTGAACATTTTCTCTTTGTGAACATCGTAAAACAAACACAATTCGCGGATTTTCACAAAAATTTTTGTGGATTTTCAAAATTTTCAAAGATCTAATGAAGATCGAATTTTGATGGAGACAAATATTTGAAATTTTGATCATTCATAAACCTTCCCTGTGGTCACGTGATGTCCCACAAAAAATTTGGGCCCGATCGGTTCAGCCGTTTTGACGTTTATTGGATACAAACAAACAAACAGACAAACAGACAGACAAGCCAAATTTATATATAGATATATATATGCAGTTTGTTTGTTTGTATGTCCGATCTCATCTCACAAACCCCTGGACCGATTTACCTCAAATCTTGATTGAGGAACTCATTAAAACCACGAGAATGTTCTTAGCATAGGTTAAAAGTTCTAACCATGGGTTCACTTATATTTCCAGGCAGAGCTGGATTCTCAAGCTAGTATGATTAAATTTACATAGAAGTTTGCTTAAAGGGTCTGTGAGATGTAGATATAAAGGGAGTGTTCGCGAAAATTGAAAGAGGGTATAGAAACCTATAGCGTCCATATAAATTCACACAGTCCCATTATTCCACTAATATTTGTAAATAGTTAAATTATATTTGAAATTAATCTTTCAGATATTACAACCTATAAATGTCGAATTCAATTCGATGCACTCTATATGTACTTTAAACGACAAATATTTGGGCGCTAGGGTGTCTCTGCTCTCTATATTTAGGGCTTCACTTTAGAGAGAAGAGAGACACCTGGCGGACAATAAATCGTCGTTGAAAGTACATCTTATAAAAAATAAACAATGTTATTGAATATCAACAATATACGAATGCATCGAATTGAATTCAACATGTATTGGTATTCTAAATAATTACGCTAACAGTTGGTCTGAAAACACAATACTGATCAGAACGAATTCAAAGGAAATGAGTTTTTGCCACAGACTCTGATTTTCAAATTTAAATATCATTGCAACCCAATGTCGTAGACCTTTAATATTTCAAGTTATGAATGCTGTTAGATCAAATAATGTAAGTTTGAAATATCAGGTTGCAAAGAAATAAGGATTACAAAATTGAATTTGTGGCAAAGACTCAATTCCTTTGTATCTTCTTAATGAAACCTTTATTTTCTATTTAAATCTGATTCAGGTCCGGATATCAATTGAGGGATTGCAGAGGGATCAGGGAAGCAGCACTATTTACAGCTATGGTCAAGACCGCGCTTATCTAGATACAACGCCATCAGATTACCACAATGGTCGTGCTACAACAGCTAATGGACAAAAAGCAACATCATATGGTCCAGCGTTTCTAAACACTAACGGAAACCATCGATCAATGTCGGCACAGTTAAACAGTTCTACAAATAGTTACAAGAGGGACAGGGGGACTTCTCCGAATTTGAATGCGTCTCCTAACGGTGGCTTGAATGCGTCCCCTAACGGTGGCTTGAATGCTTCTACATCCAGCAATAAGATTTATAAAAGACCAGCAGTTAATACATCAGCAAGGGACCAGAGGAAAATTCAGGTGGTTTACTCTGAAAGGCTGGGATGTTGCGTTTTGCCTCCCCCCCCCCCATCTCAAGTGTTTTCAGCACCATTATTTTTGACACTATAGAAACTTTTGATTAAAAATATCTAAATTAAAAGGTTTTTTTGCCAAAATTTGTCTCTCTAATATATAGGGAAGGGTGTAAAAAGTATTTCAGTGCTTCGAGTACGATTGCTGAAATTTTGTTTTCTTATGCCACAGTTTTATGGGGTTTACTGTATAAAATAGCCGGCTACGTTTCGCAAAATAAGCTACCTATACCTTTTCAAACTTAACAATATGTTTTGTCTAGAATAAGGGCCCCCCTGTAACTAAATCTGGGAAGGAAGATGGAAAAAAGAAAAAGATGAAAGAGAAGAAAAAAGCTCCTCCTAAAAAGGGAAAAAAGAACAAAGATCATCATATTAGGTAAATATGTATCCTCTATTTTTTTTCTGTATTATATACGGTGGTCGGCGTTTATATCATTACATTAAAGACGACTTTTCTTTTTAAGTTTTGATTTTCTAACCAGGTTTTTTTTCAAATTAGAAGTTTACGTGTAAATAAAGAGAAGCTGTTAATTGACATCTTCTTTTTGTTTACATGTTTTTGTGTTTAAAAATAGAAATTCATCTTCATTGTATTTATATTTATGATTAAGATTTCATATCTTAATTGCGTTCTTAAAAGGGTCTGTAATTGATAAACCAACTGATAAATTATTCAAAAACTCGAACTTATTCATTCTAGTAAATAATTCAGAGTTTAAGTGGTTTACAATCTACCATTACAACTTGGAAAGTTGTAATTATATTAATATCTATATAATAAAGCTCTTTGCTCCTATACAATATTTATATTATAAATATATGTTAGCTATGCTGTCCAAACGGCTGGACCGAATCATCTGAACATTTTTGAGGGAACCCATGGTTATTGGTATCCAAGGGATAACACTTTTTTAAATTTTATTTCACGAGAACGCCGGGCCCTCTAGCTAGTATAATATAAATTCGTTCTTTGCAAGATATAGCTGGACATATGGCCGCTACGCTCCGGCCCCCTAATGGTCCCAGCTGCAGTGCTCGGTCCCTTAGCCTGACATACCCGCAGCGTTAGGCCGAGAAATTGTCATAACCCGACATATCCCTGAAATAATACAAAAGAAATATTATTACTTTTGAACATGTATAAAAAGGAAGTCANCCAAAAAACGTTCTTTAGGACAAGCCTTCGTGCTCACTCTAGAAAACATAATTTTTTACTAACAAAAAAGTGTTTTACCGAACAAAAACTTTTTCCCTGTAAACCGTTCTGCGGTAATTATTAGTTCCAATTCTTCAATTATGAATGCTTTATGAACAGAGTTTGTTCAACCATTTTCAAAATTATTTGGGGGGAAAAGTACTTTATCTCATTCATAAGGAAAAATGTAGAAAATGTAGAAATTTTCTCCCAGAATAGCAATTTCTTTATTAAATCTGGTTAATACAGTTATATTGTTTTATTTGGGATACAATACACACAATAAAGATATCTATATTTATTATTTAGAGATTTTATTAATATTGTTCTCAGTATATATTTTTGAGAAACTAAATAGTCAGTGTAAAGTAGACATAGTTTTCATAAATCCTTTTATTTAAATGGTAACACGGAATTTTATGAAATCATATTAGCATTACTGGAGAACTTTTTTTTATACTTTTAAGAACTTTTTTTTTCTAAAAATAAAACTGTAGATAGCATTTTTGTAAAATATTTTATTAAATAGTAACATGCAATTTTATGTATAACCATATAATCATTCATTTATGTTGTCAGTACATAATAAAATCTGGGGGACCTTAAATACAATAGAGAGCAGTACAAATGTACATATTAAACTATTTTGCTCCTTTAATGTCTAGGGCATGTTAAAAAAAAAGAAATTATGATAATGATAATGATAAGCCAAAATGTTTTACAAAAACGTTTAATTTCTCAAAATATAAAAAATGTTCTCCCGGAAAAAACGCCTTGTTGCCATACGTAGCTGTTTCTATACGTTTGATTTCCTGTATACAGGCCCCAAGAATCCCAAGTTGGGAAAAATGTGTATACTGTGAATACTATAAAAAAAGATTTGAACAATTTTGTAATAATCTAAAAAAAAATTAAAATTGAATGAAAAAAATTGTTAAAGTATATATTATTTATAATGAACCTTGCAAGTTCAGCAAGCAACTTTTTAAAGAAAATTTTTTTTTAAGTTGGAAAACATCTTTAAAATTATTTTAAAATATTTTACTTCAGGATGAGTTCTCACTCTGTGGATAAAATGCAGGTAAAGCTAAAACTCAAAAACTACAAAATTTAACTGTTTTAACAAGTTTTTGTAATGTCAGATTCACAACAGTGGCAATAAAGGCGTAGTCTAATCAGTCCTCTCTGAACAAATTAATCATTATCTAGTTTTATTATTCTATACATACAGTGACTTGCGCATTTCTGCTTCGGAATCAAAAGTACGAATTTTTTAGAATTATACACTTTTCAAACAATGAAACCGACACGTACGTACCGTTGCAATTAGGGCATGGCCCTCTTCAAATTAAAGATCAATTGAAATAACAAGGACATTTGCTTTAATCTATTTAGTGTCGATTAAAAAAATGTTACTTACACTTTGTTGTTGGGCAGGCTCGAACATTACACTAGTATATCGGATTGCTATACAAATTAAATGAAGATTTTTGGTACTTTCTATCTATCTATCATTCTTTTGTTTGAAGGATTTTAAAAGACATATATCGGTAAAGTAGTGCATAGTGTGATATAAATAATACAACTGTCAGCTATAGCTGGACATACGGCTGGACCAAATTGACTGAATTATTTTAGGAACCCCATGGGTGATACCATGGTGGAAACATTGGGTTAACAAATTAGAAAGTTTTTCCAATGTGTAACTGATAGAACATTTTCAGAGTTAAAACTTTTCTTTTATGATATAAAGTCTCTTTCCAATTTTTGAAGGATTTTGGGTAAAATATTCCGATACAGACAAGATGTAGCTTGTCGTAGTCAATTTTACGCGTGAAGCACTCTAGTATGCCGAGTCTATTAGCGCCTGATCCAATCAGGGTTTAGCCATGTGTTTGGTGTCTATTCTGAACCAATAGAAATAGTATAGGCGGTAATATCTATCTTTTTATTCATTTATTAGATGAATCCTTATATGGGCGTTATAACAGTAAATGGAAATATTTATTTCTTCTGAAACTATAGTGGAAGACTGCTGGATTAATCTGATTCATTTTTACTATCTTACCTTGCAGAGAGCGTTTATCCTCAAATAGATAAGTTTCCACTGTGGATATCGAGATCACGTGCCATTTCACTTATACATTTTACACCTTTAAAGATTTATTAGACAATTCTCAGATTAATTAGAATAGATAGAAGCAAACAATAATTCCATTGTTTCAAGGTTTCTCGAAATTCTAGTTGGATATTTATGATTTAAAAAGGACTGTGTTCGTAACTTCAAATAACTAGATTGGAATCTGATTCACATAGGTCATTTCTCTACAAAATTGAGACTTTTTACTGCAAGAAAACATATATGAGTTATCAGAATTAAACACTTTCAAACCTAAAAATCGAAAATATCTTTTACATTATTGATAAATTGAAATATTTATCCGATGTAAAACTAAATAATCTTAAATTAGATTATAAATTGAAATATTTATCCGATGTAAAACTAAATAAACTTAAATTAGATAATAAATTGAAATATTTATCCGATGTAAAACTAAATAAACTTAAATTAGATTATAAATTGAAATATGTATCCGATGTAAAACTAAATAAACTTAAATTAGATTAAAAATTGAAATATGTATCCGATGTAAAACTAAATAAGCTTAAATTAAATTATAAATTGAAATATTTATCCGATGTAAAACTAAATAAACTTAAATTAGATTATAAATTGAAATATTTATCCAATGTAAAACTAAATAAACTTAAATTAGATAATAAATGGAAATATGTATCCGATTTAAAACTAAATAAGCTTGAATTAAATTATAAATTAAAATATTTATCCGATGTAAAACTTAATAATCTTAAATTAGATTATAAATTGAAATTCTTATCCGATGTAAAACTAAATAAGCTTAAATTAGATTATAAATTGAAATATTTATCCGATGTAAAACTAAATAAACTTAAATTAGATAATAAATTGAAATATTTATCCGTTGTAAAACTTAATAAACTTAAATTAGATTATAAATTGAAATATTTATACGATGTAAAACTAAATAAAATAAAATTAAATTATAAACTGAAATATTTATCCGATGTAAAACTTAATAAACTTACCAACCTTTGTCGTGTTTAAAGAAAATACTTCAGCTCAGGCAAAATTTCTTCCCCGTTAAAAAAATAAAAATGGCAAATTCTAAATTGTGGAGTTAGTAAATATTAAAAATGTAAACCCAGGGATAATGCTGTAGAAAGATCAGACTTTGGATGCACTTAACATAAATTATAATCTATATTTATTTTTAATGAAAAATTTCTCTTTATAAACCTGTACCTTTTAAAAAGATTAGTTCACAGAATAAGTTTTTAAACAAGTACAGGGTGTCCCACAAAGGATGAGCTTTCAGAGACAACTGTACTGATTTTTCATAACTGTCACTAAAAGAATGTATTCAAGGCAAAAGATTTAATTTAACAATCAGATCGTCTAAATTCTTGTAATAAGAAAATTTGCAATATTCAGTTCTATCCTAATTTTTAAGGAAAATTTGTTTTTCAATGGTTCTTCAGGTTTTAACTGAATAGCGTATATTTAAAACTTTAGAAGAAAGGATCTAGAGAATTTAAATAACTTTTCCTTAAAAATTAACCAAAACTGAAAATTGCGAATTTTCTGTGATTCTGTTATTCAATCTTTTTAAAATTAAGATTTTGATAGAAATAATTTATACACATTTTTGCCTTACTGAACTTTTGATTTTGAGAGAAAAAAGGTTCGCGGATTTTTTTTAGCCATTGGAATACCAAAAAAAAATTAAAAATTTTCAAAAAATATTAAAAATACCATACAGGAGAGTACAATTTTGCACCAGGCGCCGCTAATCATACTTTTTTGACTCACCCTGTATATAATTATATATATTGTAATAATGATGATTGTCTTCAAATACAAGCCAGATGTAGTCCCCCTGAAAGAGCTACGAACATTTTGCGATATGTCAGCACTTTAACCTTTGGCAACTTTTTCCGCAATTCGCATATTTGCACAGTAATGTTTCATTAACATCAGCGCTTTAAATAGAAACATGCTTAAAATATTTTGGAAAAATACCCATATTTATAAGTTATATAATTAGATGCTGTTTTAGTTAAGGAAAAAGTGCTGATATATCTCAAAATGTTTGTATTGATTAGCTCTTTCAAAATCTTAAAAAAATTACATAGGATTTATCTTATTTCTTAGAGGTCCACTGCAGAATATGGAATTCGATTAGAGCTTAACAAAACTAAATCTGCAAAATCGTTGAAAAGAAAAGTCACCAAGATCTATTTAGATAACTATTCAAGTTATATCTGCATCAAAAAAACTGTGTGTCATGTGGATAAACTTAGTCTTTACTATCTTCTTTACCCCGTAGTTTAAAAACATATGTCTGACTCTGTTCCAACCCTACCGCTGCTGAGTACCCTCCCTTTCCCTTATAATTCCTCATCACCTCTCTACCTTTTTCCTAATTTATCATCATTATTATGTTTAGAATTTACACTGTACAGTGCACACCCATGTATTTATCTAAAATTCTCGTTGGCTTATAATTGGCCAACCAATTAATACAATCTACTTTGGTTAGGCGGGTCCAAAGTAAATTGTGATTTCTTTTTGTATTGTCTCGTGTTTTGTAGTTGAATAAAAAAGAACAAACATGAACTAAGAGCTTTCGTTGCGTACTGTAAGGATCTGCTGTATACTGACCGAAAGAAAAGTGGGGTTTAGTGGGGAGTGATATTTAGCATGTCTGTCTGTAGAAAAAATAAAAAGAAATGAAATCTCTTGTTCATTAGATCTACTTCAATCAGTAAATTATGATGAAAATAATCTATATAAAGAAAATCTAGAAAATAAAATTTATCCAAACCTTTATGAACCTGAAACATTCTATTCCCATAAAAATCAGGTTTAAGTACCGGCCAAACCCCTCCTGACTGTTAACCAGAGGCCGAAATTTAAAAGAGTATCGTTGAACAAAACTCCCGAGTTTCCTTTTTGGGGTCTTTACTTTTGTGTAGATTTTGATTTTAGAGATTCGAAAAAATGGATAATATAAAAAAACCTGAAGAAATAATATGTCATTACAAAAAAATTGATAATCACAAAAGTGCCTAACCCCATTCGTGAAACCCGGGTTTTAAAACTGGTTTCACTAACGATACTCTGTCTTAAGTTTTGGGCTCAGCTAGAGCAAACTGTACAGTACAAATACAGATTATACAAGGCAAAAGGGACAGTGCACCATATGAAATTTATGTGTATAGTTCATAACACCTCCTACAAAAGAAGAATATTTTGAATTTATAAAATGAGTAAATTAATTTGCTGTTCTCATACTTGAGCGTCAAATCAAAACTGGAGCTGTTAGGACGTCACAAAGTCGTAGCAGTATTGTATTCTCCAGTTCCACCCCGAGCCCTGCTCTCAAGCTGACAACACCTTGTCAATTTACCTCTCCCCTCTCTCATGGGGGTTCTAATTGTTTCCTATCTTACTGGTGGCCCCTCCGCGCTGGCACCAGTTCAGCTGATTTGTCGTTAAACCTTGACCCATAATCATGGATATCACATACCGATTGGTTGAAATTTACAAAGATATTGTTAGTTCTGGAGTTTCTGTTAGAGTGAACCTATGGTCAAGTGAAAAAGAGCAGTTTTTCTCCTTCTCCAAAACCAAAGGTTCCTGATCTCTAACCACCAAACGGAACCAAGAAGATGGCGGAAAATGAAATGAGAAGCCAACAACTTTAAAGAAACTTTAAAGTGTTCCTTAAGGGTGGACTACAAAAACCTTCATATGCAGAGGTCACACAGAGGTCTGTTGCTGGTTCCTTTATGACTGGAACCAAGGCTATGAATTCATCTAAATCTGGAACTTCTGTTTTTTTTTGGGGGGGGGGGGATTGGAAAAGGTTCCCTTGATTCTGGAACTTCACACAAATCTTATGCCAAGTCAAAATTCTTGAGAGCAGGTTCTTCTCACAACAGAACTCCGGATTCTCTTTTCTCTGGTTCTGAACCTTCAAAAGTAACAGTTGCCTCTGGACCAAGAACCTCATACACATGATACAACTCCTTTAGTACATGTTCCTTAGTAGCTGGAAACTCATGTTCAAGTTTTACAGGATTTCAATCCTCTCAAAAAAGAAAATCTAGCACTAGACCTATCAAGAGTCTAAAACAGTAGCTGAACTTTATAACTAAACTCCGATATGATATTTAAATGTATTAGCAAATAATAAATATTTAGACTTTGAAAGTATTTTTAAATTTATTTGACTTATACTTCTTCTGTCTTGTCAAACAGTTTTTTATTTCTTTTTTATAATATTTTATTCCTATGTGAATATGCCTTCTCCAATTACAATGTACAATTTAAACTGTAAACTATGCACTCAAGTTTCCCGGTACTCAATTTTCAGTAAAACAAATCAGGATATCTCAGTCGTCGATTATCATAAAACTTGTGTAGGCTAAAGAAGAAGAAGAGGAGGAAGAAAGAAGAAAAAACAAAACACAGTGTGAATCTGATATAAGGAAACGGTTAATTACTTTTATGACAATATATCAGAAGCATTAAAATATAATGTAATTAGAAAGGAAAACAATCTAATTGGCTGCAATACAACTGTGCACTGCATATTGTACGTATCTACATTGTACAGTGTGTAATCTACAGTCTACACTCTATAAACTCTATTGTAAAATCAATAGGTATTAATATTTAAAATATTTAATATTAAAATATTAAAAAATCACTGAAAAAAAGTTTCCTAAGAATCTAAAACTCAGAATTTTTTTTCCAGTGACATTTTGTCCTAGAACTTCAGAAAAATGGGACTTTTACCAAAGTTTTTATTTCCAGGCTTTTTCCAAAAAAAAATGTTCTCCTCTGACTTTCTAACATAGATTCACACTACGCCCATATATTTTAAACCAGTTTATGTAGAGTTTATATAACGTTTGTTCTTCTCACAATCTTTACTGCTGGATTAGTGTGTGCCAAGGTAAAAATATTATTTTTGAAATTAGATTTGGAATTTTTTTCTCAATTTTCTTATTTTTGCAACTGTCATATGGTTTCAACAAATTGAATTGAAAATTGACAGAACAAGAACTTGGGGAACAAAACCAGGAAGGAGTCTAAACTTTCTTGAATTTTTTATAAAGATAAAATTTATCTGAAAGTATGCTAGACAATGACTAGAAAACGAGTTAAATTTTGTAAAGACGAATTTTGAAAAATGAAATTTTGCAATTTCAATATACACAGATTCCATAACTGTTTATCAAAAACTTTTGTTCTAAAAGTTATGTTTTAAACTTTCCTTTTATTGGTTGCTATATATTATCACAAAAAAGGAAAAAGTCTAAAAACAAATAATGGAAGCAAAATTGAAAAGAAATCATATTTTTCTTTATATTTTATCGAGCTGAATGAGTTTTTAAGTGATAGAAATACATTTATAACAGTAAACTTAGGTTTATTTTTTTCAATTCGTTCGTTCAGGAAATTTTTTTTTGCATTTTGAAAAAAAATTGTTCAAATGTTTTTCTTTTTAGGCTTTCTTACATTTTGAAAAACTAGAGTTAAAATGTTTTTCCTTTTTAGGCTTTTTTAATCGATTCCTCGCCAGAAGGAAATGTGAACCAAGAACCCTCTTTAAGGTATACAATTTGTTAAGCTAAAGAGACGGTTAGCGTAATTTCAAATAACTTTTCCGCCAAAGATTCACAACGGTACCCTTGAAACCTCTATTTGACAATGTGGAAGATGTTTTCGTCTACTATTGTTTGATTCGGATTTTTTTCTATTATCGATTATAAATATTGATGTCTATTTCATACTTAATCAGACAAAGCGTTTAACAAAATAATTAAAACCAGGCTTTATTTCAGTTTTGACGAACAACAATTGTTAACATTCTTGAACACAACTTTTTTATCTTTTTATAATTTAACAGTTTTAGCTTTGAGATACAATATTTCCTGTTTTTTATTTATTTGGAAATTATTAACACCTTTATATTTTTTATCAAATTGTTCGCAATTTCCGGTGTTTGCAACGAATACATTGTTAGTTTTTTCTTTTATTTTTTTCAGTTTACGTGTGTTACTAAATTCGTGACAATGTGACCAATATGTGACAATTTTAAAACTAACAATTGTATTTAATCAACTTTGTTTCCCATGTTTTGAATTCATTTAAACTTTTAATTAATTCATTCAATTTTATATATTTACATTTATCATTTCAAAATGTGTTCAATGGCAAAGTGAACACATTTAATTGGTAAAATTAAATAAGTAACATGTAACGGCTAATTCCGGGAAGGAACGAAAAAGCATCGCTTCTCTTTCACTCATTAGGAAACCAGAAAAAAAGTTAATTAAAAAACTAATAATGGAAAATAAAAATAATTAGGTTTTTAAGAAAAACTATTATTTGAAATCTTACGGTTAAACTAGAAAAAAAACATTGTTCGGAATTAAAATCCCAAAAAACTTTAAAGTCTTGAAAAGTTAAAGGGACTGAAAGCGTAATTTGAAGTGGTCCTCGATGCAAAGAGGATGGCCCAACTCACAATGGTACCCATTAAACTAATTAACAATAAAGAACTTTATAAGTTTATCTCTAAAATTGTGTTTAATGTTTAAACTGCCGCTATGTACGCTAGCGTACAGTGTAAAGTCAACATAGCTGACTACATATTTTCCTATAAAATCCAAAACTTTGGATATCCAATGTGGTTTTTGAATATTCGAATATATATACATAAATACTTATTTTGAATATTCGAATATATATACATAAATAATTATTTTCTGCGACGTCCAGAAAATAATATTAATATTACGTAGTAACATATTAATTGAAAAAGGATCCTTGATCAGTCCAAGGTTTAAAAGATATGATGTGAATCGCGGATACACCACTTTACATTTGGAGGGTCACTTGAAATTAGGCATACACTCCCTTTAACGCACAACTCCATAACATTCAGTTATGTGTATTACCATATTACCATTAACAAAAGTAAATTAACAACGTGTTCGTTCAGCTATAATGGCCACATCATGAAATGATGACAATTTAAATATAAATTAAAAATCAAAACTAAACAAACTTTTTTTAATGTAAAACAGTCTTCAGTTTTCAAGTAAATGGAGTGACCAGCGATGTATGGTAGATGAGGTGAGAACGTAGTATTGTGGAATGTGGATACATTCTTTAGGAATCATTTGAGACCTATGATACGTTTTTACGGTGCATATTTGTTCAGCAACAGCGCAAATTCAATATTTAAAATCCTCATAGACTGTTCATTTTTGAGAGAGATGATTTTGAGAATTGATTAACTATTAACATCGAAAATAAGTAATCTTATTCAGGTATTGGTTTCTGTGATGTCTCCTTGTTTACAAACATTTTCTGTAGATTTCTTGGAATTGTTATTGAAAAGACGATATTTAAAGAATTTGAAGAAATCTGCGAACAAATTCGCAAAGAAAAATGATGAAAAAGAAATATCTGATTCTAACATTGATTTATTGAGAAAATTTCAATTGAGAAATATGTTCCTTAACATCTAATTGCTGAGGAACTTTTTTTACATTTTTTGTCGTCGTTATTTAATAATTTTAAGAAATTGATTCTCAAAACGTAAACACCCTAATAAATGATTTTAAACGTCGACTTTGCGCTCAAAGCCAGTAATTTATACATCATTAAAACGTTTATATGTCTAAAATGAATCCTTAAAAAAATTCTCTACAATAGAATACTAAATTCTCAGTTCAACTACCATACATTGCCGGTCACTCCCTTTAAGGTAAAATTACATTTTTGATAAAAACTTTAGACTTCACTATGTAATAAGAAAAAATTTAGATCAAATAACTCAAAGATTTCCATTTATGATTCTAAATCTTTAAAAACCCAGTTTTTTGTGGGAAATCATACAGAAATAGATATTAGCGACAGCTGACTATTCCACAGTGATTCAAATGTTGCTAGCTTTCGCGCAAAAATCGTTGAGTTTTATTTCATGTGTTATTGTCTAGGGCTACACAAATGTACAAGTACTTGTCTTAGGGAGGTTGAGTACGTGGAAGGGGTTGGGCCGGGAGGTTAAATTTATTATTATATCCGTTGGTCCTGAATTTACAAAAAAGTATGAACACGCTTAAATCCACGTATACGGTTCAAAAACCCGGTTTTGTAAAAATCTAAAGTGTAATCTCAGTGTTTTTTTTTGGTAGAATTAAGGAGCTCTTAAAAGAAAAAGATTAATAAGAACTTGTTTTCAAATAATGTGAACAAAGACTAAAACTGAAACTTAACAACAGTGTTTAAAGCTTTATTAAGAAATTCGAATTTACTAGAATAGAAATAAAAATACACTTTATTGATAAAAGATTTCACGTTCTCCGCTCTATATTTTCCAATTTTTCATGTAAGCTTGGCCTTATAATAGTCTCCAAAAAAGGTAGCTCCCGCTCCATTCGCCTAATTTAGAATAGCTAATCATGCATTTTTTTCAGAAATAAGTTGAAAAAAGTTTTAATCTACTTTGAAATATATAATTATTATTATCATAATTTAACAAGAAAACAATGCCATTAGTGAATCACAACAGTAAACAATATCAGAAGTGTAATATACTTTTTTTCTAGCTTGTCTGTGCAACCGCACATCATTATCAATTTTATTGTTAGAAAATAAGAACTATTCCATCATTGTTATTTACATTACGGGTTTCAGAGTACTGTTGTGAATGCGGGATGATAACTAAGTCTAAAATTTTTAAAAGTAAAGCATCTTCTATAAATATACTTTGCGATCTGGGTGTTTGTCTATTTATATCCAATAAACGTCAAAACGGCTGAACCGATTGGGCCACAATTTTGTGTGGAACCTCAAATAACCTTAGGGAAGGTTTGTGGATGTTCAAAATTACAAAAGTTTGTGTCCAAAAGTTTTTGATTTTTGTTAATTTTGAAAATTCGAGAAAAAATATTATTACCGTTGTTATTGTTTTATATTGTACAAGGAGAAGATGCTCACAGACAGATAGAGCCAGAATTAAAAGTTGAAATAGAAGATGGACGCGAAGCGCCTGAAAAGCCTAGTTTTATAAATTTGTCTAGATTAGGCAAACAATTATTACTTCTAGAGCATTTAAGATTTTTTTCCCGATTACGTTAAAATTTCATAAATATGATTTTTCACCTTTTCGTAGTTTGGTATGAGACTAATACACTTGGTAAACCAGGTATCCACTACAGTATACTCGGACAAATCAACAGCCTAGCAACAAGTTTTTGAAATCTTTGTCAACAAAATATCTGTGAAAAATCGCAAGAGACGCGTGAAAATGAACCTTAAATATGTGATAAAAAGTCTGCGAAATGCGAAATATTAAAGATATTTTCATCAGAAAAGCATTAGTTCCCATCCATAAATTAAACATACATGGCTATGAAGGCATGCAAAAGTCTGCTTAAAGGGACTGTAAAGGAAAAATGAAAGGGGGTATAGGCTGAAAGCTAATCACTTTAGCTCTTGATCGCGACCCATGAAAGTTTTATCTGATGTTCCTGTCTCGAGAAATTGATATAAAACTGTGTTAAAATTTTACGAAAGTTCATATATGTAACATTTAGAAAATCTTAAACTTAAATCACGTGACCAGAACTATCACAAATGGCAGAGCAGTATACTGGTCACGTGTCTCCGCCTGTATCACGTAACCACTTTACTGCACTGCCATTGGTGGAATTTCTGGTCAAGCAATACGGACGTATAAATAATATTATGAATTAAATCTATAAGAAATAGAAATAACAAAAATAAAATTAGAATTGGAGTAAACCTAAGTTACAATTAGCTTTCTCTGGGATATCTTCGTTTTCAGATTGGTTGCATATTTGCTGAATTTGATCTTTTTAAACCCACTACTTTTATACAAAATTGTATATATATTAATGTTCGCATAAATTTGATAAAGTTGTAAATCAGTTTCTCGAGATAGGAACATCAGATATAACTTTCATGGGTAGCGCTCGAGAGCTAAAGCGATTAGCTTTCAGCCTATACCCCCTTTCATTTTTCCTTTACAGTCCCTTTAAATAACGTGTAACAGACAACTCTTATTTGCCGCGCTTAGAAAAGGGGAAAAGAGACAAATCCAATTTCATCTATTTTTTTCTTCTCCTGCCGCCATTAGTAGGAAATTCACAAGTATTGTTATCTGCCTTCATTTCTACGTATATTTAATCTACGTTCTCAACTATATTAACTTTAAACTTGACGTGACCGATAAAATTGGTTGTTCTCATACTTTTGCGTAAAATAAAAGCTAGAATAGCTTCGAGGTCACAAAGTTGTACCTGTAAATTCGCATTAATTTGACCTTCTCCTCGACCTAGTTTGCAGTGTTTAGCGTAAACAATTAGAATTTGCTCAACGAGAGAAAAACGTGCTCCATTATATATTAGTTTCAAAAAATTTTATATAGATATTTTCTGAGTTGACCTACCCCTGTAGCCTTGATGGTAGAGTAGGTCGCAACCAGGGATATATCTGCCAGGGTTATCTGAGTAGTGCCGGCAGCAAACTTGCCATCAGACACAAAGCTGGTCAACCAACCCAGAACCTTTTAATTAAAAAAGTGACCTGAAGGTCTTGATTCTTAATTTAAAAATAATTATCTGTGAAAATGAAACTTTATCTTGGACCTACATTTATTTACATCTATAGCAGTGGACACTGGACTAGGGTCAATTTGAATTCGAACCGGACCAACTGCTTGTATACCCTATCCTGTGCCAAACTTTTTACAGTACCTAGTCTATCGTAAAAAGCCAATTTGACCTATCCTCTACAGTGATAACCAGAAAACTCTGGAATAGAAAAACGATATTAAAGCAATCCTCAAGTGTATTTGCTGTTACAAAGCAAAAAGTTTTACTTTAAATTGGTTAAATTACTGTTAAAGCAAAATTGGTATGTTTTTACTGCACAATTACTTCGTATCATGTTCATTGGACAATTTTAAGGCATTAATTGAGCGTAAACGTCGTCTTCCTATTCCAGAGTTTTCTGGTTATCACTGTAGCTTAGTTTAATGTCTATTATTTGTTTAAAGCTGGCAACACTGTCCGATTCATTTTCAAGAACCGGGCCGACATCTAACCAGCTATTGAGCGAGCTGTACAGTACATATACGGATTATACCTGGCAAGGGACAGTACACCAAATGAAACCTACCCCTTCTATGGAAATTCTAGAGGGCAAGCTCATTAAAACTCATTTACCTCCTTCATCCTTGCATGTTGCTTCTCTCCTGGGGCTGGCAAACCCCTGTCAGGCATCATTACAGGGTAGGCAATATCTTCAAATGCCTAAATAAGTTATCTATACATGTATACAAATGGTAATCTCTGTTTGTCAGTTTGTATATCCGATCATAAATCATGAACCCCTGGACCGATTTGCCTAAAATTTTAATCAGGGAAATTGTGAGACCACGGAAATGTTTTCTGGGCTTGGTTTTGAGATTGGATTGTTCAGAGAAACCATTAAGTAACTGTTTTAAAACTCGATCATTCATCAAACTTGAAAATCGATAATTCTTTAACTGAACGAACGATTTTTTCGAACAACCTTTTGTAAAAACTATCGATTTTTACTGAACCAAACGATTTTTTAAACGAACTTTAGAAATTAATTTAGTTTTTCATTGAAAACCAATTTTAATGAACGATTGGTCGTTCAGTGAAAAAACGAATAAAAACTTCAAAACCATAACAAACGTTACTTTTTTAGTTAAAACAATAAATGGCTGCCTAAATTATATTTTTAATAGTTTTAACTAACGAACGGCTTGAAAAAAAAGTCAGAACGTGCCCACCTCTATTTGCAGCATCTAGGAGTTAGATTTATTTGTTTAAAAAGGTTTCGCCCTTAGTTTTCTTTATGAAACCAAATTGATCTGGAATAATTTTGAAACCCTAATTCCCTTAAAAAAGGGATTTTATTTACCTTATAGAAAACTCCCATATCAAAGTACAGGCGCTGGTCTACCCTGCACCTAGTCTGGGGATCCTAAAAAATACAATTTTCCCATTCATCTTGTAAAGACTGAATTCCTTTACCTTTGGATAATGTGAATCATCCTGTCCATACTTGTTGACAAGGTAGGCAGCAGCTGCTGTCTATACTTGTTGACAAGGTAGGCAGCAGCTGCTGTCTATACTTGTTGACAAGGTAGGCAGCAGCTGCTGTCCATACTTGTTGACAAGGTAGGCAGCAGCTGCTGTCCATACTTGTTGACAAGGTAGGCAGCAGCTGCTGTCCATACTTGTTGACAAGGTAGGCAGCAGCTGCTGTCTATACTTGTTGACAAGGTAGGCAGCAGGTGCTGTCCATACTTGTTGACAAGGTAGGCAGCAGCTGCTGTCCATACTTGTTGACAAGGTAGGCAGCAGCTGCTGTCCATTCTTGTTGACAAGGTAGGCAGCAGCTGCTCGGGATTCATTCATAACAAACTCATCTAGAATTTAATCAGATTTTAAAGGGAAAGTTAACAATCCCAGATTTATAACAGTGCCCTTTACCCTATCACGGCTGGAGGGGGGAGAGGTTCCACCCCCTCCTGTGGGTTTTTCTAAATAACTATAAGAAACAGCTTCCATTAGAACGCTTAAACTTCTTAACTTTTTGAACATTATTATTATAAATTTCTGTGAATGACAGTCAAATGGCGGGTTGGTGTTTAAAAAAATCAGAAATGCTTTTTACTGTTTTTACTTTTAATTAATTAAGCTGCAGGGTTAAAATTTATATATTTAAAAAGCCATTGAAAATGAATGTAATAACATGTGTCACATGTTAATATTTGTCAAATATAAAAATAATTTTATATGAAAAAATGAACTTTTTAAAAATCCTCCCTTGCACCCTAAACATTAAAGTTAGAGGTCTATTTTTTTAAATGAACAGGCCTTGAAAATTTGGACTAAGGACATGTATCACACTCCTCTATCTCAACTCTAAGGGCAAAATCATAGACAAAAAAAGCCCAGCCGGGATAGGGTTAAACCCTTAATCTGATCAATACTTAATCAAAAATGTAATATTGCATTTAAGTATAACTAGCAATTTTTTTTTTGATCTTAACAGTTAAGAGATTTGTTTTGATTTTATGATAAAATAATACCTTAATTAGTTTGGAAACATCAGTATACAATCAAACACAAAGGATAAATGCTGGTTTTACTGGTTGAGAAATAATCAAACCGGTGTTACTGCCGACTGAAGTTCAAGCGTGTAACTGTAAAGTGTAAATACGGCTTCAGCTATACAAGAGCTGCAGGGTTAAGTCCAGACCTAAACTCCACCAAAATACTTTCATGTTTTTAAGTATTCCATTTTTTGTGGAAAGGCGGGGAGGGGATAAAAATTTAAGCTAAAAGAGCCAAATTTATTAATAATAGTTTAAAAGCGTTATGATTCCCGACTGCCTGCTTTGTTCATAATTTCAGAAGCAGAGTGCTAAGAGGCATACTCAGGCATATGGTTTATCCGGTGCGATACATTTTTCAATTAATTTTTTGTGCTAGAGTTAACAACTTGTTAACTTTACCAAAAAATAATAATTTGCATTAATCTTAGCTAATTCAAACTTAGATTAAAAAAGGTTTTTTATTAAATGAAACACAAAATTTGTCCAATATATATTTTTATTATAATTATTGGAAAAATAATTTTGTTCAGGGGATCCAACAGTATCTTAGTCAGCATGGGACTCAGTAATTTACAGGTATTCAATTTAATGCGTGGGAACCAAACAAAAATGTAATTAATTTTTCTTTTTATCTTTTCTCAACAACAATGAATTGTATTTTTATCATAAAAGAAGCCATTGTATAAAGTGGAACAGAGCATAAAATTAAAACATAAAAAACTAAACATAAAAAATCCTGTTTTATCCTAAAATTCTATTGAATAGAAAATTTTGAAATAACTCCTAACTTTGTTAATTTGCTTCTTGATTGAAGCTGTCTTTAATAAAAAAGCATCTAAAAAAAACCTTTCAACCAAAAATTAATTTATTTCTATTTCAGAAAACAGGGGCGGGTTATATAAATCATAACCCCGGGTTCATATCAAACGACTATCCTACACCTGAGCAATAAAGAGCAATAATTATTATATTACAAGGTGTCCCAAGAAACATGGGAATCAAATCGTCTTTAATTTAAAGATGTTAATAATTGACAAAAATTGAGTTTAAAATTATGAAATTTTTAAAAAGTGGTCCACAACTTAGTGTCCTCAGTATTGACAGGATGGAAAATGCTTAAAATTTGAACAATTTGGATAGTATTTCATAAATTGGAATCTATTTGGATAGTATTTCATAAATTGGAATCTATTTGGGTAGTATTTGATAAATTGGAATCTATTTGGATAGTATTTCATAAATTGGAATCTATTTGGATAGTATTTCATAAATTGGAATCTATTTGGATAGTATTTCATAAATTGGCATCTATTTGGATAGTATTTCATAAATTGGAATTTATTTGGATAGTATTTCATAAAACGGAATATATTTGGATGTTATTTCATAAATTGGAATCTATTTGGATAGTATTTCATAAATTGGAATCTATTTGGATAGTATTTCATAAATTGGAATCTATTTGGATAGTATTTCATAAATTTGAATCTATTTGGATAGTATTTCTTAAATTGGAATCTATTTGGATAGTATTTCATAAATTGGAATCTATTTGGATAGTATTTCATAAATTGGCATCTATTTGGATAGTATTTCATAAATTGGAATCTATTTGGATAGTATTTCATAAATTATATATTTGGATAGTATTTCATAAATGGAATCTGGCCGAATTTACTCAATATCTTTGTCAATTTTTTAAATATTCCAATATAACAAACCACATTTTGAAAATCCCGAGACTAGTAGTTTTGAGAATAGTTTTTTTTAAAGTGAGATTCTACATTAATTTTGTTAATGAAATAATGCAGCATGGAACAAAGACGACGTAGAAGTCGGCACATAATTCCTATGTTTATTGGGGTACTCTGTAAATTCAGAAATTTCTTTTAAAAGAATATAGATAGAATAGATTCTGGAAAATTATCTTTCGTTCTATTTTAAAACGTTTTTTTTTAATTTTGAAACGAAATTATTGCACAACTTCAAAATATTTTTTCAACAAAAGAAAAATATGTTTTTTTGATTTTTCCCCTCTATCTGAACATTTTTTAGAAGGCAAAAGTGTAATCATTAATTTATTTCGTATTTGTTAAAAATTAAATAAAAGATTTTAATAATTTTCCCTGTGATAAGGTATTCGAAGATTTAAAACAATTTATTGTATCAATGTATCATCTGTTTATGTAATATATGTATTGTATATACACCTAAATATACGTTATAAAATGTCTAACATTCTCAAATCTGAAATATCTGAAATAAATAAGAAAAGGGTCTTTCAGTCGAAATATAACAGAGCAAACCACGTTTGCACGTTTTCAAAACCAGCTTATTTTTTTAAAAGTTTTGAAAATATAAGGTCAATGGATAAGACTCATGCCGGTTAAAAAAACAGAAAATATGCTGTAAAAGTGAAAATTTTAAATGGTTTTTTTGTCAAAATTTAACATACGAAAAAATTAGAGAATTTTTTTCTAATTTTCTTCTGTTAGTGAAAAAGTTTCGGTTTTGTTTTAGGAGGAATTAAATAATAATGATTTCAAATATTTTGAAAATTTTTAATTTCAAAATTTAAATTTAAAAATTGGACTATTGACATGAATCACAACTTTAGGGGGGAGTGTGGGGGAGTGAAACTATCTGATATCATAATTTGAGGCTAAAAGTCGTCTTACTATTCCACAATTTTCTAGTTTTTATTTAAGACAAAATAATACTCTAAAATCACTGCAATTTTTGAATGCAATTTTTTTTAATGAAGTATTTTTATAAATATTCCATAAATGTTGTTGAAAACCTTGTTAAGTGAATGTTTGTTAATGTTTAATTTTTTAAATATGAGTGGTATTAAGACGATATCTAAATATTAGAGGTATACAGACAATATCTAAATATAAGAGGTATGCGAAGACGATATCTAAATATGAGAGGTATAAAGACAATATCTAAATATAAGAGGTATAAAGACAATATCTAAACATTAGAGGTATGTGAAGACGATATCTAAATATTAGAGGTATAAAGACAATATCTAAATATGAGAGGTATAAAGACAATATCTAAACATAAGAAGTATGAAGACGATATCTAAATATGAGAGGTATACAGACAATATCTAAATATAAGAGGTATGAAGACAATATCTAAATATAAGAGGTATGCGAAGACGATATCTAAATATGAGTGGTATAAAGACAATATCTAAATATAAGAGGTATGAAGACGATATCTAAATATGAGAGGTATAAAGACAATATCTAAATATAAGAGGTATAAAGACAATATCTAAATATAAGAGGTATGCGAAGACGATATCTAAATATGAGAGGTATGAAGACAATATCTAAATATAAGAGGTATGAAGACGATATCTAAATATGAGAGGTGTAAAGACAATATCTAAATATAAGAGGTATGAAGACGATATCTAAATATTAGAGGTATAAAGACAATATCTAAATATAAGAGGTATGTGAAGACGATATCTAAATATTAGAGGTAAGACAATATCTAAATATAAGAGGTATAAAGACGATATCTAAATATGATAATTTCTTCATAAATATGTCAATCGTAATAAAGTTCACAGCTTCCTGTCTGTAAGGTAGTTAGGTAGTGGAGAATTGATCATTTCCAAATGGCATCTACTTTTATAACAGATTCAACAATTTTGTTCAAATGAAATAAATCAAAAATTGAAATTCTTAATGTCTCGGTTTATATTTAAAGCAGACCTCATTTTAGAAATACCAGGGCTAGGATAAGTTTTTTATTATTGTTTCAAGAATTATCACTGTAAAAATAGGTAAGGTAAAGCATACCTCTTTATTTCAAAGATCAAATTTTACAGTGTACATTCAGATTAAAAACGGCAATATAAATACTAAGATTTTTAAAATCATTGGTATATTATCTTTATTATTTTTTTCACAAAATACTTTATTGATATCTATCATCAATCACTACCTAACCATAAATCTGCAGTTCTTTCTCTCCGGAGAAACATCAGGTGAATCAGGGACCGGAGGATATGGAATTTATCAAATTGGCGAGATCTTATCCGAGCTGAGAATTTAAAAGCATAAAACCGAGTAAAACCCGGTCTTAGCGTCTACTTAGACCGAAAAGTAAAAGTGAAGTGAAGACCTACTCGGGTGTTGGATTGCCTTGAGTAAGAACCATGTCCAAATATGACCAAATACAGAAATTTTATATGCATTAAAACAACCTGTATGTCTGAAGCAATGATAAATCATTTCCATTTTTCTCTTCGGTTTCTTACTCTAATATCTTTAAACTTTAGAATGTATGTTTTTCAAACAATTTAACTGTTTAACTTAACTTAATTTAACTGTAGTAAGTTATAGGTATTTTTCCTGAAAATCTGAAAGTTAAAGGGACAGACTGGCTATGTATGTAAGGTAGTTGAACGGAGTATGCAGTGTTACGCGGCGAATTAATTCTTTAGGATTCATGTGAGATATATAAAACTTTTTAAAGATCTGTAACTCCTCAGTTAAAGCGCAAAGTCGACGCTCATAATTTTACTTTGGGTGGATAGGTTTCAGAATTGTTTTTTTTAAATTATTAAATAACGACGACAAAGAATGGAAACAAAATTCTACAGTAAACTAATTAGTTGTTTAGGAACAGGTTCAGAAAATAAAAATTAATCTTATCATCAGAAATAAGTAAAATCTTGTTCAATTATTAGTTTCTATTTTCTCATTATTCTAGTTTCTCATTATTCACAAAGATTTTCTGCAGATTTTCTAGAATTATTATTGAAAAGACGACATTTGAAGAATTTGTAGAAATCTGCGAATAAATTCATAGAAAAAAAGAAATTCAATATGTTGATGTAAACAATATTATAGATTCTAGCATTGATTTATTGACAAATTTCTTTTGAGAAATATGTTTCTAACCATCTAATTAGATTACTGTATAATTTTTACTTCATTTTTCGTGGTCGTTATTTAATAATTAAAAAAATACCGATTCTGAAAACGTACCCACCCAAATTCATGATTTTTAACGTCGACTATGCACTCAAACTCAGTAATAATACATCGCGGAAAAGTTTTATATGTCTCAAATGAATCCTAAAGAATTTGTCCACAACACTGCATACTCAGTTTAACTACCTTACAAAACCGGTCTGTCTCTTTAAGCTTAGCAATAACCAAGGTTGTAATGCAAGGAAAGTTAATTGCATTTGCGAATACTCTACGTACATATTGAGAACCAATTCTATGGGCGGAATTTGTAAACAAGAAAACCAAATAACGCACTTTGCACAGTTTTCAGTTGTTCAAATCTTGAAACAGATTGAAAATATTCCACAAAAACGGAGAAAAGATTCAACTAGAAATGGGGAATTATTGCTATTAAAAAAACGAGCTGATCGTTTTGTTAACGACAAAATAAAACGAAAAAGGATAGTTATGAAACAAACCAATAAAAATACACGCAGGACAGATAACAATAATAAATTATCACAAAAAGATTTTAATGTAATATTTTTATTTATTTGAATAATATAAAGTAATAAAGCGGCGATGATATTAACAGTTTAAAGCGTATTTTTAAGGACAATCTTTATGAAAAAAACACGTTCGAGCCTTTAAGCTAAAAACAAACAATAAAAGTGTACAATGAATCTCCAAAAATTTGTTTACAATTTTTTTAATCTTCAAATTGCGCGGGGGAAATCGAAAAAAAAGTTAGTTTAAATTGTTTGTTTTAATATATGGCGGGGCAAAAATACAGCAACAAATGTTCAGAGCTTATTTGTTTTAGTATATTACAATATTATTTAACTATTCTTTAACTGTTACAATTTGTTTCTGCGAAAAAATTCTAAAGTTATGTGCATTTTAGTTTTTTTGTGCGCAAATTCCCCAGTTTTTACAAGAATTATAGTAATGTTTTGTAACTGGTGTTTTTTTCATTATCTATATCATAAAACAAGACATTCGTACATATGTTCCCAATAGCCGGCCAAACGGCTGGACCGAATGGGCGGACATTTTTGAGGGAACCCAGGGGTATCCCGGGGGAAACATAGGCTAAAATAAATTCAAAATTATTTTTTACTCCACAGACAACGCCGGGCACTTCAGTAATTAATATGATCGTAATCTAGAATCATATAAATATTATGAATGGATCTAAAAACACACGGTCTTATAATGACTTAAATTATTTGTTATAAAAAAAGGAATTCATTACTCGCCTCAACCTTTCACTTTCCAATCCTTAAATTTTTGAAACTTGATGTCAGCTATTCTTTGATATTTTGAACTATAAATTTTGCAAGAAAGAATATTTAATTTTTACACTTTAAGATTGCAAAAATATAGGGATCAACAAAATTTTATCAGGTCATTAATTTTAAATAAAATTGATTAATATTTTGAAATAAGAAGAGTTGCTTCAGCTGTAGGTGTAAAATCACGGCACATTTGAGATTTTTCAAAAAATACTGTAATTATTTTAAAAATATTACTGAATTGTGAAAAACAATTTTAATATTAAAGAGATTATAATGTTTAACAAATTATCCTCAAAGGAGATTAAAAAATGCACTGATATATTATGGACATGTTATAACAATGAAACTTTGATATCTTGAAATTTTGTGTATAAACAGAAGTGAAACTTAAATTCTAATAAAACTATTGGTAAAATGAGCTAATTAAAACATTAAAAAAAAATTTGTGAATTTGTAGAAAATAAAGGTTATAATGATTTAATGATAATGTTTATATTGTAAAACTATCTGTAAAGGGAGTGAACATTACTTTTAAAAAAAGCATTATTAGAACCAAATGACTTCAATACATAATGACGAATTTTAGCATAAACTTGTAACACACATTGTTTGTAAATACAAAATTCAAATACTAACGCTAAAAAATGCGCCAAATAAACTAAGATTGTTGGATTTGATTGAATATTATAAAGATATTTAGCAGTTTTTTAGTTTGCACACATATTTAATTTTAATATTTCTTTAAAAAGTTACATAAATATTTATTTTCTTCAGAATCAAAAAAATACATTTTAGATTGCTCGAAGAAAAAGTTAAAAATGTATTTTTTTAGGGTTTTTAAATTAAAAATTAGTTTCATAGTTCATACCCACACAAACTCTTAAAAAACTTATAACTAGCAACAACTTGTCTAAGCTCTTTATCTTTGAAACCAAAAAATTGAAATTTTAAAGCATAAAATTATATAATTTGTGGCAAGTGCTCAGTGCAAGTGCATTCAATATCAGGTCTGAATATTCGACCTGATAATTTGAATACCTTCTTGCGTCATGAATTGTTCGATGTATTTAAAAAAAGAAACATTTTTTGTTACAACGATTTAAAGTTGTTTTGGCCAATAATGTTTAGTTTGTTTACATTTAGTTTTATTTCAAAAATGGATTTTTGTTTGAAGGAAAAAGACATTTTCAGAAAATATAGTTCCTCATTTAAAATATTAGTAAACACATCTACAAATCTTCAAGCGGATTTGAATGTACTTTCAACGTACAAACACCAGCAGTTGTACAATGTTCATGTACATAAAAAGTTATCCTTAAAAAATCAACAAGCATAATATGATACCAATATTTTTCTTAAACCTTCGTAGATCACTTTTCATTTGTTGAATCATGTTTTCAACAAAGTCAGATTTGCTGAAATCCTAAATAACAGTTTTATGTTTTAAGCTTTCACAATTTATATCACATTAATAATGCGCTGGAGTCTTTTTCTTCAATTCTTTGAGACAGTTTCACTGGCCTCCGACACATAATCTGCAGCCTCTAAACCATCATCACTGACCTTTGATACTGAATCCATAGCCTCTTATTCATCATTTCGTAGCATCCTACACAGCAACGGCTCCGACACAGCATTTATAGCCTCCGAAACAGCATAGAATATAGTAATTTCTAATGTAGCCGTCCTCAAAACAGCGTCAATTGCCTCCAATGCAGCATTCTTTATCTCCGAAACACCAATTCAGTTGTTTTCGATGCAGTATTCCAAGCCACCAATACAGCATCTTCAGATAAATGCATTGGCGTCCGGTACAGCATTAGTAACCTCCGATACAGCATTAATAACCTCCGATATAGCATACGTAACCTTAGGACCAGAGTTCGGAGATTCAGATATAGCCATAATAGCCTCTGAGGCATCCTTGGCCCCCGAAACATCAGAGGTATAGGCAGCCTCCGATATAACATTCATTGCCTCCGGAACTGCATCTGCCGGTTCTCAAAGTCTACAACTCCAAGATCACCTTGACAACCTTGACCTCCATCAAAAGTCTTAGTCATAGATAACCGTGTGTTTAGGGGTTGACCTCTAAAAATCACTCCAGACATAGCATTTTATGAATAGATATTGAGCCATAACACAACTCCTACAGCTTTTAGCTCGGTCACGTGGATTCTGAAAAACAAATTTATCCAACCATTTGTTTTCAGAATTTATAAATGAATTTAATTTTGGGCTTAAAGGAACTGTAAGCGTTTTTCTAACTCTAAAAGTGTTTAACTCTGATAATTTCTCCAATGCTTCTTTTGCAGGGAAACTGCAAATGAAAATAAACAATTTAAAAGAAACATAAACTTGGATATGTACATTATATATTTAAGAATACCATTGTAAATCAGGCATTGCCATCTTTGCATGGAGGGTCACTTTAAATTTCGCTTACAGTCCCTTTAATGATATTGTAAATTCAAAAATGAAGTAAATCTTCTAAACGCCGGCGTATAAGATAACAAAGATATAAAGAAGTTCGAAAATTAGATTTTGAGACAAATAATCAATGCATTTGCCTTTTTTCAGAATATTTCTTATTTGAAGAGAGTAAATATAAAAAAGGGTAATAAAATAATAATTTTAATCCTGATAATGCTAATTCCTAAAAAATAAAAACAAATAAACATTACCAATGAATTCAAAGCATAATTTTGTTGTTTAAAAATGTTTAATTGTTTAAAAATTACTTTTAGTTTTATAAACAAAAATTCCAAATCTTAAAAAGCTCATAAGGCCACCATTTTTATTGCTAAAATCGTCATTTTACTCCCATAATTTTTTCAATCCCAATATTTTTGCAACCTGATGGTGTAAACCTTTGATATTTCAAACCTATATTGTTTAATCTATAATATCTAGGGTAAATATGGATTAGAAAATTAGAGTTTGTGGCAAAGACTCGATTCCTTTAAATGTTGTTTAAAAAGTTTAAACTATTCTACTTACCAATATATATAAGTTATCTAAGTGTTTACTTCTCAGGCATACCTCCCTAATAAATGCATATTTTAAGTTTATCAAGAAATATCTACTTTGTTTCATGTATAGTGTCTACTGACTACTGCATAGATATACTTTCGATTTTCAGAAAAATACATAATACGTTGATTTGACAGTCACAAGACGACTTTAAGGTCGTCTTTCATCTATAATATAATTTTAACATTTAATCGTAAACCTGATTTTTATAAAAGTAGAATTATAGAATTAATAATCACAAAATACGCTTAGTCTTGGCATTTCCAAAATGTGGTGTGCATTTTTTATGCCTTTCTGTAAGATTTCGACAATTTTGGTTTTATTCAATGTAATTAATATCTGAACAAAATTCTTAATAACTCTGGTAAAATTGACTCATTTTGTAAATGCCAGGACAAGAAGAATCTTGTGCTTTATTGTTTCAAGAATCATAAATGTTATTGTAGGTTCACGACTGAATGTCACAAATAAATTCAAAGATCAAAGATGACTTTCAAGATGTCTTACTATCGTCGTTTTTCGCAAGTAGATTTTATTTGCGCCGTATTGCGAGCCCTGTAAACTCCGCGCATTTGAGAACAGCTTTGCCCTCAATTCCGCACAGTTGCGTGCAATTCTAGGCTACTGAATTCCGATTGGAAACCCTAGTTTCTAGTGATGAATTTACCTCTCCAAAATGAAAGATATTCCTGGCTCTGGCGAGAGCTGAGAGAGGAGATCTAGAAGGAGAGTCTGGACTAGACTGAAGGCTAGCTTTAGAGCCGGATAAACTGGTTCGAGATAGATTCGATTCAAAATGGCGGAAGAATTTTGCCCGTGGAGAAACGGATCCTAAATAAAAGTTATTTTAAGTGAAATTCGATTTTTTAAATCAGATTATTTCAGTCAGTTTCTAACTCTTCTCTCACTCTAGAAATGACGGCAAGTTTTAGATAAAAAAAAAAATGTCCAATTCAATCATCATATCTGCTTGGGACTTTCTAAATAGGTAGAACTGCAACAATAGGATAGGACTTGAAACATTAAAATATTGAAGTTCTTGAACTAACAAAATTACGACTTCTCTTGTCCTATAAATCTGTAAAATATATCTATTTTTTTGCAAAACATATTTATGACATCTGGCCTGAGCTGGGAACTTTAGAATGGTGGAGCTTAATCTCTCTTTTTGCTAATCTCAAGACTAACATAATCTCAAGATTATGTTAGTCTTGAGATTAAATTAAGATCAACAAGTTTGATTCTAGGAACGTCAGATTTGTTCGTTTTCTTGACTGGAAGGGACTTCACTTAATTTCTCACCCATTTCTTTATTGATAAATTAGTAAAATTGCAGGTAAAAAAAGGAATCTTAAACGTATTATTAAATATTTTCTTTTTATTAATTTACGAAATGGCCGACAACATATTCTTAATTTGTAAGCAATTGCGAATTTCCTTCATGGAATAGGGTTTATTTTTAAGGCTGTCATTGGTCAATACAATTTACAAATTATTTTCCTGCACTCTCATTGGAGAAAAAAATGTACGGAGAAAGAAAAAGAGTGGATGAAGGACTAAATTAAGTTTCCACAGTGTATATTCGGATTAAGTAGTTGGGATTAAAGGTTATTCATTCTAAAGTTCCCAGCTCTGGTCTATTTAAAAAACAAGAGCTTTAGATTTATTTACCTGATTTTTCGTTTGAACTCCGCTTTTTGTCTTTTGGAGACTGGTGTGAACTGGTTATTGACGAATATTCTAACGGATGCAGAGATTCAGTCCCTTGCCGCGGTTTACTGTCTTTCTTTACATTAGGTGCCACATCTTCATGCGGTTCTGTAACAAATATTAAAATAGAAACCAACGTAAAAATTAGTTTCAAGTGGAAATCAAGTATCATTGCTTATAGTTATTGATCCTGTATTACAACTGTTATAACTGGAGATTAAGTTTTAATGGTAAATCTATTCTATAGTTAGATATATACATTATCTTATCACTAAGGTCCCCATAAACTATTCAAGGAAATCTGTAGATTTAGGTAGATCTGGCTATACAGGTTCAATTATATACTCTGCTCCAGTTAATAGTTACTGCTCCTCTTGTATATAGTTATGCATACCTTATTTGAACTATTAGGTCCCTATTTACTTGGCTAGGAAAACTATAGATCTAACTCCAGTATATACTTGAGTTAATTGATACCTGGAGGTTGTACTCTACAGTCTGAACCAGTCTTTTTGTGTTACCCTGGAGGTTCAAGTGAAGACTCAGCTCCAGTTTGTGATTCTTTTGTGTTACCTTGAGGTTAAAGTCAGCGCCAGTTTGTGATTTTTTTGTGTTACCCTGGAGGTTCCAGTGTAGACTCAGCTCCAGTTTGTGATTCTTTAGTGTTACCTAGAGGTTCCAGTGTAGACTCAGCTCCAGTTTGTAATGCTTGTGTTACCTGGAGGTTCAAGTGTAGACTCAGCTCCAGTTTTTTGATTCTTTTGAGATACCTGGAGGTTCCAGTGTAGACTCAGCTCCAGTTTGTGATTCTTTTTTGTTACCTAGAGGTTCAAGTGTAGACTTAGCTCCGGTTTGTGATTCTTTTGTATTACCTGGAGGTTCCAGTGTAGACTCAGCTCCAGTTTGTAATGTTTGTGTTACCTGGAGGTTCAAGTGTAGACTCAGCTCCAGTTTTTGATTCTTTTGTGTTACCTGGAGGTTCTTCAAGTGTAGACTCGGATCTAGTTTGTGATTCTTTCGTGTTACCTGGAGGTTCAAGTGTAGACTCAGCTCCAGTTTTTGATTCTTTCGTGTTACCTGGAGGTTCAAGTGTAGACTCGGATCTAATTTGTGATTCTTTCGTGTTACCTGGAGGTTCAAGTGTAGACTCAGCTCCAGTTTGTGATTCTTTTGTGTTACCTGGAGATTCAAGTTTAGACTTGGATCTAGTTTGTGATTCTTTTTTGTTACCTGGAGGTTCAAGTGTAGACTTAGCTCCAGTTTGTGATTCTTTTGTGTAGCCTGGAGGTTCAAGTGAAGACTCAGCTCCAGTTTGTGATTTCTTTTTTGTTACCTGAAGTTTCAATTGTAGACTCAGCTCAAGTCATTATTCTATTGCATTACCTGGAGGTTCTTCAAGTGTAGACTCGGATCTAGTTTGTGATTCTTTTGTTAAACCTGGAAGTGCAATTTCAGCTCCTTCTAGCAACTGCTGATCCTCGTGAACTTTCTGTTCAAATACGACATCCTCCGTAATGTCTTCCTCCAAAGGCTGGCTAAGTGGAGCTAAGGATTGAGGAAGAATTGGAAGTTCTTCTGCAGATGTATCTGTTGGATAGGAGTGGTTTCGAGCATGAATTCTGAAAATTTCAGGAATAAAAATACGGCAGCTGATCAAGTTTGGCCAGCTCAACTTTTGTAAATGTGGAAACAGTAATTCTTATCTTATTGGCTCAATTTTTCAAAAATTGCATTTTTTATCAGCTAAAGTTATTATTATCAAAAAGTTTTTTATTCAAAAATCATTTTTTTGTTTCTTTTATTTATGCTAGGAGCGTAAATTTTGATTTTTGACATCCTAATGTCCGGGGATTGGAGGCAGAACAATAACCATCATTTATACAAGGGGAATTTGGGTGATCCTTCCACTAGTGCCCCCCCCCCCCTCCTCCTCACTGCATCAACAGCAAATTGCATTTACATTTATCCTTTTGTCTCTTTTACTTTTTGGCAAACTCTGCCTTTAATATTCTTGCAACTATAGTTTAACCAGAACTTCGGAGATATCAGAAGAATTTATAAAATCTTGTTTTCAAATCCTACTGATCTTTAGGTTTGTAATTAAATAATTATATAAAGCTCTTTAAAACTGTTTAGCATATTTTATGGCTATTTAAATATTCTACAATTACTGAGATACAACGCAGTAATAAATTGTAATAAATCAAGACGACATTTTATCAACACTTTCGATGTCTACAAAGTTCCTGAATCTGAATCTGATATTGTGATTTCCAATAATTACCTCTTAGCAGATTCTCCTACAGAGTTTAATGATGAAGAAGATGATGATGACGAGTTAGAGACATGGCAAAGGTTTCTAGAGGTCAGCCTAGATTTAGAATAAATATTTATAGCAACGTGTCCCTAAAAGAATTAATTTTTTGTCTAAAAAACGTTGTTTTATTATGTTCACAAGCTTTATCTAATGACCAGAAAAGTTTTGCTCTAAAATGTCATTTTTACCCCCAAAAGTAGGCCTCATAATCGAAAATGTATTTAATTTCTATTCCAAGGGAAATTCAAAATACAATTTTGTTTATTTCTTTTTAATACTTCTATCAATATGTTATTGTTATTAATTGTAATCTCAATTAAATTCAATCATGAATATATGACATAGATATTTGTTGTTTGCTTTTAAAAATCTATGGAAAAGAGACCGAGCACATTTTTGAATATCAGGCCAACCTTTGAAAGTTAAAAAGGCATTTTAGAGCAAAATGATTGCTCGACAACCTTCATTATATGGAATAGTTCCTACTTGTAACATTATTATAGTACAATAAAACAACGTTAAGTAGTCGAAAAAGCTGTAACACATTTTTAGTTTATTGACAGAAATTATCTCTATATCAAGAATCTTTTTAAGATTATGTTTGTCCCAAGCCCAGGGAAGCTTAATTTTCTTTTCTCGCGAGGGGGGGGGAATTCCCACTAGCCCCTTTCCCTGTATACGCCTCTGCAGGACCCCCTCCCGTTCCCCCTTTTAAAAAAATAAAACTTGCATTCATGTTTTAAGACTTAATGTATTAATTACTAAATCTTCTACAGCTGGATTAACCTTTATTATCATGTCAAACAAAACATTATCTTTTTTAACTGTTCTGAACAGGTGGACTTGTTAAATGCCTTTTATAGAGATAAAAAGAAAAAATCATGAATTCATGAAAGAAACAGATTACTAGCCTAAAACTCTGAAGAAGGTGCCAGAACTTTCCCTGGGATATTTAGAAAGTTAAAAATTCACTTGCATGATATGATATGATTTTGGTTAATTATATTGTAGTTCTAAGCATAGGGGTGTCAACAATTATTATACTTAATTATTTTTAAAATTTGGTATAAATTCTCCCCCAAAAGTTAATTTCCATATTCAACCTTTTTAAAACTTAAACTTACCAAAATAAATTACTATAAACTTGTGTTGTCACACATTTACCTAGTACTCCGTACAAACTAACTATCCAAGGGAAAGTTCTGAAACCTTCTATCTAATTCTTATGTATTTGCAGCCTGAATGTTTTGATCTTTAAACCTTTACATACAACCTTTTTAAAACTTAAGCTTACCAAAATAAATTACTCTAAACTTGTGTTGTCACACATTTACCTAGTACTCCGTACAAACTAACTATCCAAAGGAAAGTTCTGACACCTTCTATCTAATTCTTATGTATTTGCAGCCTGAATGTTTTGATCTTTAAACCTTTACATACAACCTTTTTAAAACTTAAACTTACCAAAATAAATTACTATAAACTTGTGTTGTCACACATTTACCTAGTACTCCGTACAAACTAACTATCCAAAGGAAAGTTCTGAAACCTTCTATCTAATTCTTATGTATTTGCAGCCTGAATGTTTTGATCTTTAAACCTTTACATCTAGCAGACTTTATAGTTTTACATCATAACGTGTCAAGGATACTATTTTTTGATCAAATAGTAATATATCAAAGCTAGATAAGTATTTGATATTCTATATGATTTTAAATTAATAACAGAATAATGTATATTTTTAACACTACCATTTTTGTAAGATACTGGTTGGGACAAAATATAATCTAAAAATGTTTGTAACTTCTGAGATAAAGAGAAAATCTCTGTCCAAAAACCATAGCACGTCGTGTCGTGTCAAAATAATGGAGTTAATATAAATAGCTTTTTGACGAAGCAGTTACAAAAAATTTATTTCAATTTTATTTGCATAGTAATCTAAAAATTCTTCAAGAAATGTAATTAAAATTACATAGCTAAATTAACATGATTATTACTTTATAGCTTTGCTATAATGGAATTCGCCATTCATTGACCGTGAATGATAAAGTGTAATAAAGTTTTATAAAATAAAATAATAATAACAAGAAATACCTCGTCGGAATTACATTTTCCAGACTCCTACTTCTTGTTGAATGAGAATGCAATTTACATTTCACGCTTGCAGTTCTAAATAATTTTAGATAGAAACCCTCATTAAAACCTTATAACTTTTAAAAAAAGATCGTCGTTTTCTGGCTTGAAAAGTGTTTAATTCTGAAAAAATCCTCCATTGTCCGCAAGTCACTCGTGTGGAGAAACCCCACTCTACATTTTTAAATAATAAAAACGTTCTTTTAAATACTGCAAATATTCCTCAACTTCTTTTTATAGAAATAGAAATTAATCATTTTTAACATTTAAGGTTCAAGTATAAAATCAAAAAAAATTGTACCTTGCATGCTGATACGCATTATTCCCGTCAAAGTCTGATTCATCAGGAATAATATTTGGATGCTAAAACAAGTTTCGTTTAATTTATTAGAATTTGGAATTTATATAATTTCACATCTTGAAATAATTTAAGCTTGACGTTATGAAAACGTTTATGTTTTTAATCATAGCTCGCATCCTGTTTTTGTATATATATATAGGAAGTGAGAAGAACATAAATGTTTTGCATTTACAATTTGAATCATGCTAAATTTCTTATTTCTTAATTTTCTTATAAATATATAATAATCGAAAATAGAAGAGCTACGAGGTCACAAAGTCGTACAAGTATGAAATTGCGCTTCTTCTTCTTACTATAGTTTGCAGTGAAAGAAGTAAAGTTTTGTTAAAATAATATGTATGCGCGCAGACATTTCAATATTTTTGGTGTGAATTTAAAGTGGTGCAGCTGGTTTCACAAAAAAAACTTCGGTTATACCCTTATTTCAAATATTTTGTGAGTAAATAAACCAATATTATTAATTAATTTGTTTAATGGTTGATTAGATGGTAACCAATAAATATTAAAACGGCATAATCAGCCTGGGGACCAACTATTTTGCGGAATTTTGAGAATTCCGAAATAAAAACATTAAAATCTGCGAAATTCTTTTTCGTGATATGTTTTTTAATATTTCAGATGTAATGCATTATTGGAAACCCCAAAATGTACAAAAAGTGGGACGTATAGCGCCCTGCAAGCTTTCTATATTAATTCAAATATTAAAAACAAACATATAATTCTAGAAAAACCTCTGAAGAAGTTTAAGTTATAAGTGAAAGGGGACCAAAAATTTAAGGAAAATAGACCAAAAAAAGTTTGTACAGTCGCATTTTTTGTGGGTAACCCTATACCTGGAGCAGAAGTTCCACAATACGGGAGTGTCCTCTCCGACTGGCCGCCATTAAAGGAGTCGCGCCACGTGGGGCATTTCTAAAACCGGTTTTAGTTAAAACTGGGGTTTTTTCTTCAGTTTTCACGTGAATATAATAAAATCAAATAGATTTCATTGAATGTGAATTAATTATTCTTTAAATGTTTACATAATTTCAAAGAGCAAAGTTTTGGAGACATAAATTTAAAAGAAACGTATTTTTGTCTTACAAAAATAGAAAAGAGTGTTTTTTATTATTTCTATAGAATTAATGATTTTATAAAAATAGAAAGAAAACCTGAAACCAATTTGGACAGATTTTTAATATACAAATTGGAACTTGATGAAACATATATATTTTCTTACTGCGTCATATATAGTCTCAATAGCTGTATAATGAAAAACTTTTCAATACGCACGAGGGATTAATAACAATTATTTCTATTATGTTATAAATAGATTCTCCAAAGACATAACCTCTTAAAATAATCAAATATTGTTTGGAGAAAACCTAACATTTCGTTTGTTATAACGAACTTGCCGAAAGTATAAGCAACTTCCCAAGGATATTTTGCCAAGTGGCTATTTCCCAAGTCTGTCCTAGCCGCAGCGCTCGGCCCCTGCATTTTCTAACCCCCTAGCCCAGCATTTTCTACCCAATAGCCCATCCTAACCGCAGCGCTCGGCCCCCATTACGCCTACGGCGCCTAAGAAGGCCTAACCTAACCTTCGGGAAGTTGCCGCTTGGGAAATATGTCACTTGGGAAGTCGGCCATGGGAAAATACCTCTGGAAAAGTACCTAACACCGTTAGGAATATACCATTTTTTGAAATATCTAACATTCTGTCTGAACTTCGAATAACGTGTTCGTAAACTCGGAACACTTTCTGTAAGCTCTCTATTCCGAACGAAATGTTAGAGGTTCTCCAAACAGTACGTAGATCAACCTAATGATAATCTTTAATTAATTGATTTATTTGATCTTATCTAAAATTGATTCAATCCTTTCTGCAATTGATTTAGTCCTGTCTGTAATACATTTGACCCTGCACAATTGATTTGATTCTATCTGAAATTGATTTGATTCTACCAACAAATGATTTGATTCTCTATGCAATTAATTTAATTCCTAGCAATCGATTTGATCAAACTACAATTGATATAATACTGTCTTTAATAGATTTGATCCTTCATGCAATTTATTTGATCCTCACTATAATTTATTTGATCCTTCCTCCAATTAATTTGATATATTCTGCAATTAATTTTATCCTTCCTGCAATTGATTTGATTAAAAATGCAATTGATTTTATTTATTCTGCAAGTCATTTAATTCCTAGCAATTGATTTGATCAAAATTACAATCGATATGATCTCACCTGCAATTGATTTGATCCTACCTACAATTGATTTGATCAAATTTTTACTTGATTTGATCATATCTGTAATTGATTTGATCCTAACTATGACAATTGTTTTGAACAAAATTTCACTTGATTTGATCCTATCTGAAATTTAGTTTATTGCACTAAGCAATTATTTGATCAAACTTGCAATTAATTTGATCCTTCCTGCAATTAATTTGATCCTTCCTGCAATTGATTTCATTTTATCTGTGATCTAGATTTGATTTTACCTGCAATTCACATCAATTTCCGGATGTAGAAGAAGAAGTTTGACGATATATATATGTCCTTCTTCTGCTGCCAGATAGAGAGGTGTTCTCCCATGTTTTCCTTTGATGTTCGCCTGAAGAGAAGATATAAACGTAAAAAACTCAGTGTTTTCTAGTTTTTTAAAGAAACAATTATAATAAGCTTTGTAAAGTAATTTTTATTATTTCAATAGTTTAAATTTTTCCTTATTAAGGATGAAAATAATAATTATTTATTAAAAATAAAACAGTATATTTTAAAAATTTCCATTGGGGTGAGATCTAAAGACATTTGCGTATTAGATGTTTTTTTCCATTAAACGTATATCTCTAAATAAAATGAAAAGTAACATAAATAAAAACCAGGAAATTGTTTAGATTAATATTATAAAGAATGAAACGTAGTTCTAATTCTTCTTTTGATAAAAGATGAGGGTTTGTTGTGACGCAGGAAGTTTAATTAAAAAAAAGATTTGAACAAATATGCAAAAAACATAAAAATAATCTTTTTCATAAAAATACTTACGTTTATGTTTTCTCTCTGCAAAAGCTCTTGCACGATCAAACCCTGAGCCCTAAGAATAGATTTTAATATAGATATTCATTTTTTTCTTAATATTTCGTGGTTTCTTCGTTAAACCAAATCAGACCATAATTTTTGTGGCAACTCACTTCATCACATGACCTGGGATGAGGTTTGTAGCTGGTCGAAATATAAAAAGTTGTCCTCAATAAATGTCTGATTAAAAAAAATCAGAAATCCAAAACGGCAAAATTTATTGTTAAAAAAACCAGTAATTTGTGTGTATGTAAGTAGTAAGTGCCGTACTCTTAGAAGTTCTCCTCAAACTGTATCAATCCAGGCACAGCCAGTCCGCTATAAAAGTCAACAAGGACACAAGCCAACTGGCTTTAAATGCCACACAGGGACACAAGCGTAGCTTATCAATCTAGCTATTATTCAGGCTCTAAATGTCTCACATGGACATAAGTGCAGCTATCGAATAAACTCTCAATTCGGCTCTAAATGCATCTTAAACACAAAAACGTAGCCATCAAACAAGCTTTCAATTCGGCTCAAAATGCCACTCAGGGACACAAGCGTTGCTATCAAACAAGATATCAATTCGGCGTTAAATACCAGACAGGCATACAAGCATTGGCTATCTAACAAGCCCTTAATCGATCATTACCCTAAACGAGGTATGATCTCAACCCGAATACTGAATGGGGTACATTAACTCTACACTGTAATAAAAGCGGAGTTCTGATTCTAACTAGCTATATTTAAGGTTTATATTACAAGTTAAAGTTGATAGACGTAATTCCAATTCCTACGTCATTATCTATATCACATGATTAAGGCAATCATGTTACATATTATAGCACAGATGAAATAGGCGCATTTAAGATGTGCGTATTTTTAGGATTAGCAAGGATAGATAACGTAGTTAAGCTATCTCCACAGATGTTTAGAAGTTGAATGTACCTATTAAAAGGGTTAAAGCTAACCATGCTACATATTCATTTGAAACACAGTTCAAATGAATAATGGGTTTTTACGCAGAAGTTTACAAACATAGATAATTAATAATGTACAATGTACTGCAAGTGTACAGAATATCATGTGATTGTGACCATACATTTATTAAATGTATTCCCCCCCAAACAATTTCACTTTTTCTGGGGAGGGACTTACCCCCCTGCCTGTATACACCTCTGATACTAAAACTTCTATATTTTATCTAGAAAATGTTAGTTTAAAAAATTGTATTCTACCTATAGGAGGCCATACACAATGGCGCCTCACCAAACTGGTTTAACTGGTTTGGATCCGAACCTAGGGCTGCTAGTGAGTTGATCATATCCGTATACCTAGGCAAATTAAATTAGTTTATATCCCTAAACTATTGAAAACTTAATATAATCTTATCTTAATATAAACCCACCGTAACCATGTCAAAATTAAGAAGAAAAAAAATAAAGAAATTATGAAGAAAATGTTATGGATTCCTGAAAATTTGGTACAAATAATAAATTGAGATCGAAAGTCGACTTTATTATATTGATATATACGACGACGACGACTGTACTTTATATTTTGTAAAATCATATTTTTTGTCCTTGCTGCAGATTTCAATTTCAAGATGTAATATTCCAATATGTGTGAAAACACGTGTTTTAGAATTAAATAGTATTTTTTATATTTTGACCATGTGTAATGATGTCACCACATGTATGGGATATTATATATTGTGACGACATTTTGTGCGTGAGTTGTGAGTTTTAATATAGTTAGGACCCGTAAAACTTAAAAATATGAAGATGACTTTTAGACTGAAATTATGATTAAGAATAGTCTAATACATATTAAACACAGCAATTGTAAAGTGTGCATTAGGCCCGTAGATAGGGGGGACAGGGGCACGTGCCCTTTTTCCCTAGAAGGGGGAGGGTACATTTTTTAAGACCAAGAAGAAGAGAAGGAAAAAATAAAAAGAAGAAAACGGAAAGTGAAAACAAAAAAGAAAAAAGGAAAAAAACTGAAGAAATCTTTTCTTCTACTAATGGTACGTGTTACAAGTCATTCTTCTTTAAATAAAAAAATTGTCTGCAATGAATGGTTTAGCAATTTTTATTTATTGTGAAAATGTTAAGTTCAAAATCATTTCTAACATTTTGAGAAAACTTATATTCCTTTCTTTGAATAAGTCAGTGATTTTTATCAACTATCTTAGAGAGCTAAAAATATGGAGACAAATTGAATTCAAAAATAGAATATCTTTGAAAAACTGAATATTTTAATGCTTTATCTCGAGTTTTTATAGGCATTTGCAAACACATATATAGCGTGAAATAAGTTAAAATCAGGGTTTTAGTCCTGATTAATAAATTTCTTTGATCACCAATGCACTTTTTAAAATTTGCGCCCCTCGTTTACAAAATCTAAGCTACGGGTGCCTGGTGTCCGCAAACCCATTTTAATTTATTAGTTGTTTTTAAAGCAACTGGCAAAACTATTTCCTTTTGAGATCATCAAATAACACACAAGATTGTTTTAATGTCGTCGTCCTATTCTAACTGTATTTTTTCTTGATAATTGTTCAGATAAATTAAGTCCCTCGCTACGCTTTGAAGATAATTGATCTGTTAACAATCTGGACATGAATTAATGAGTTTAGAATCTACTGTAAGTGGCTGGTTTTTAGTTACAAAGGAAGGACACATGGATCCAGGCTGTTATGAAAAGTTGCATGTATTTTCAAGACTGGGTCGACTTTTAAGTGTCTCAACATCTTGTCCTTTACTTTTATTTCACTGATGTATACTTTTTCAGGCCCTGCTAGACATGTACATTTTATAGAACACATTTTATCTTTAGTTTTTAAGAAGACGAAATTTTCATAAATAGATTTTTTCAAAAGCTTCCACCCTTCGGATCACAGTGAGGAAATAGGATTGTTAAATATTACAAGACATTAGTTCTCAAAATTCTAATATTGTTTAAAAACAGGGTTGCAAACTATTGTTTAAAAACAGGGTTGCCAACTAAGAATGCACGTTTAAGTTTAACAGGAACCCGTGGCTCTTAAAAATACATAAATCTTTAAGTTAATCTGAAATATGACAAAGTAATAATTCAATCCAAATAAAAAACAGTTAATTGCCCCTGGAATCCTTTTCTTTGTATTTAATTATGTATTTCTGCGTTTCCAGCAAAATAGTTATGTAACCGTTTTTTACTCGGCTATTTTTTAGTTTTAATTGATTATTTTTTTCACGATAAAAACTAACTGTACAATCATGCTGCTTTTTGACCGTTCGAAATATCAATCTTTGTTCGAAATATCGATCTTGGTTGTAAACATCAATCTTTGTTCGAAATATCGAGTTTTGTCCGAAATATCGAGTTTTGTTCGAAATATCGATCTTGGTTCAAAATATCAATCTTTGTTCGAAATGTCGAGTTTTGTTCGAAATATCGATCTTTGTTAGAAATTTTGATCTTTTTCGAAATATCAATATTTTTTCAAAATATCGATCTTAGCAAACGCATTTCGAAATTTTAACATTTTGTTTGAACCAAATGTTCAAATTGTTTATTTTATGTTAAATTACCATTTTGTTGGTTCTTTCTCTCTAAACACTGTTTGAATCGGAGGATGGAAGACCACACTCATCCCTAGTTTCTGAACTCCGGGTTTAGGGGAGGCAGGTTTGGGGTCACCCTGTCCACAATCTCCAAAACATCCAACCATACTCATTTTGATCACCCAGTTAGGTCACTGAAAATATATTTTAATATTAATAAATATGTTATAATGTTTGCTTTATTGTTTTCTTTATTAAGTTGTAAAAGATATTAGAAAAATTGGACTAATGTTTGTTTTAAAATTTAAAAATGCGAAATAAGGTGAGATGATGAATATGAACTGTGAACAATTGCCTCAAAATCTAACATCTACTAAAAAATAAATCTGTGCAACTTAATGTCAGAGAACTGTTTTATATTGATAAATGGAAATTCTAACGTTTATTTATATCAATTTTAGCCTTCTGCATATATGTATTTTTGTATCCAATATCAAAACGGGCCCGATTTTTTTTTGTATCTATTTTTACTATTTCTACCCATAGGAAATCCACCAATAATAACAATAAAATCCGCGACATTTTATATTTTTTATTTAAAATTAATATGTCAAAAAAAGAAGCAAACTGCATATCCAAGTAAGTATATAAATAGGCCTCCCCCGCATAGAACAAACGACCCTGTTTTAGAGTCTGAAAACGACCCGCACGACCCCAAAAACGGGCGCCGGCCCGACTCTGTTTTAGTACTAATAAAAGAGGCGTTTTTAGACCGAAAAGACCCTGAATCCGTCTCTCCTCAAAACGGATGGGTGTCGGTTTACTTCACGGCAGGGGGCCATTATCTCCCTCAAGATTTATTACTTTGGCG